TGTTTAAATGCTATAGAATACTTAATGGCATGTTCCGAGATGCCCAAGTTGGACTTTGATGCACACCAGGATTAAGTTATATGGAGACCTCGAACAATTTCTGGGGGAGTAATTTTTTTAACTACTGAACCTTTGTCCCCTATTCCATGCTTCTATCGCTGTGGCACTGATAAAAGGCAATGACCATGCTGTTCTGGATGTCAGTCGACCTAGTTATGAGTGAAAACATTAAAACAAGAGCATCATAATCAATATTCAAGTTATGCGCCCCTTTCAAGCGAAACTTCGCTCAACGTATTGTATCTATTTCCTGATTCATTACAGAAGAGTCAGTGAGTCAGTTTCGATGGCCCCTTAGGCTTTCAGACGGCAGAGGCAGTAGTGCCAGACGCCGTCTTCAACCTTCCCAGTCATACACCTGTGTTTGAGCGTAGGCAGAAAAACACCTGATCCTGGACCAGCGTTGAGATACTTGCTGAAGCCATTTGAGGGCGTCCCTCAGGTCTTCCATCAATCGGTTGAGCAAGTGGCAGTTGTTTTGCCTGTATTTCAAAATAGCACTAATGTGGAAAATACCACTTCAGCTGTCACACTCTAACATCTTGCACCTGAGAGAATTGAGGAACCCAATGAGAGTTGAAATAATCTCCTGTAAATCGCCATAAATCGTTTTTTCTGTGAATTAGCTTGCAACACGGTTGATGAACAGTGGGAAAACCTCGAGATCAGTGACAAAACGAGATAAACAGTTTTTTTGATCAATATAGATAAGAAATGAAGAATAATTTTTGATAACTTAAAAATGAATAATACGCAATTTATTTATAACGCAAAGCAAAAGAATAAGTTGGCCAATTGGGTAACTGACCAGTACCGACGTATATCGTAGATCGTCTCTCTCGAGCCTTCATCAGGGTGGTCCGGGTTGGCTTCTGAAGTTGAATGTACGGTCCGCAGCTGTGGTGACGTCTCAAGCAGAAAGTGTTTTGGCTAATGCTGCTGATTAAGAAGATTTTTGTTCATGGGCTTGATAAAACTGGTCCAATCCGCGCAGAGTTTGCCGTTTAACGAGCAATACGAGCAAAGCACACCTTCGCTGCAGACATCACCCTCAAGAGAGAGACGAACCGAAACTTTGATACTAGTCAATTACCCCATGGACCAACCAATTTGTTTGCATTGTACGTAAATAGACCGTTTTTATGCATTTTTCAGTTTTCAGTATGAACAACACACGAACAAGTTATTCATTCTTAAGTCAGAATTTTGCGACAAAAATCTTACAGGGGCCTTCATCTAACAGTGGATCGAAAGAAGTTAATGGCCATCATAAAGAAATAACGAATCAGTACATTTTCATCTTCCTCTTCAGTGCAATATAAAGTATTTTATTTTTGACGTACGTCAGGAATAACAAGACCAATCGACCGTAGCTTGACCAAAACGATCTTAGACTGAGTTCTAAGAGACATTAAATGGCCAAGAGAAAAATCTCAAGGTCGACGGCAGGATGAGAAGAAGAAGTTCGGCAGATGACGGATAGGAATCGCCGAAAGCAGAAGTTTATGGCAAGGCCTTTCAGAGGACTTCAACCAGAAATGCGTCGATACAGCGGATGATAGCATCTTTGACATAATATTAATGGTAAAAACGTCGATTAATACTTTGATATAGTACAAATTACTTTCATCAAGAAAAAGTGCAAACAAACCTGACAGTGTCTTGCTTTCTGGCTATGTATGAAAAATATCGGCCCAGAGAAAATAAGACACTTCGCAACGTGAGAAGTGCCATCTTCCGTTAAGAGAAGGAGGTAGCATAAAAATTTGAAATATGCTACAAGCCAATTTTCTCAAAATTTGACCATGAAAGTCACAAACGCGGTTCGACAAAGGTCAGAAACAATAACCACGCTCTGAACCATGAAGAAGATACCTGAGAAAACAAACTACCAAGTGCACACAAATCAAAATTGTATCCGGGAGGAGCGAAGCACCAATAACAATCGTACGTTTACGATAAGAAATCATAAGACACTCTGGGCGGGATGCAAATGTGCTGGAAATGAGAGCAAAAAGCACTATCTTGGCAAATGATACGGAAGACGACTAGGGAGAGGATTTCGAACCAATAACTCAGTTATATTGAGGACTTCACATAATTATTTCTAGAATTTAGAATCTAACAGATTCAGCTTTTCTCACAGGAAGACGTCATGATCACTGAAAACCTGTCCAGCAACCCGAAACGAAAAGCAAATCCTTGGAACAGATAAAGGGATAACGTGAAAAAAAAACAAAATTCATATAACATCAATTCTATAAAATTTTTATTTTCAATGACAAAGCTCTACCATGTAGTCCAAGGCTCCATCAGGCAACACTTTTGTACACCTTTCGACCAGTGCCATAGCGTCTCGCAAAAAGAGCCCAAATATCGGCACAATTACCTGAAACAGACGTTATGAACCATTCATGAACTAAAACGAAGAATATTTTCATTTGTATATTTCTGCACGAAGAACATAACAACAAAGAAAACAAAACACAACCGTTGCCAGTCCCAAATTCGAATGAGAGAAAAGGAGGGTTGTGAATTGTGGCGAGGTCGCCCGTAGAACTTAGCCATCTGTCCCTCATATCATATCCGTTATCGAACGTTATACCCGTTTGGTCGTCGACTGGGTTACCAAGGGCACGCAGACTCTTGGGAAACTCAGGCACTAAATAAAAGTCGCAGATGAGAACTCC